TTCATTAATTTCATCAAACTTTTGCATTTAAAACAACTTTGCATTCTTTTAGTCACATTAGCTTAAATTGCATTTTCGTCATATATAGTCATAGTTTAGTCATGAAATCCTAATAACCAACCATCTTGAGTTTAATAGATTCGGTTAAGGTCTTAATAATAGAAATCAAATCAAATCAATCCTCGTGGGACGATACTCGAAATTTTACAATTTTCACTTTATTACTTATTAACGAATCGTGCACTTGTGGTGATTTACAAAGTGAACATATTTTCGTGACCATCAATGAAGTCTATTCTTGACAATTTGGATGGTGAGAAGGAAGCTTTAGATCGGGCGACGATCCAAATTGAATGGTTTTAGGAGTTGTTGTGCCCCCAATTTGTGACTTGAGGCTTGTTGAAGGTATGAAATGAGATGGCAGCGTGATTTAGCTGTCAATGTATTCCGTTTCACACAGTTTAGGTGGTGGGAAGAAGCTTTAGTAGGACGTCGGTGCTAGAGTTTCCACCTAGGGCCTTTCTCCAACTGAATGGGTTTAGGGACTGTTGGGGCCCTAGTATGTGGCGTAAGGCTGGTCGATGGTAAGGAAGGAGACATGATGTGATTCAGTCGCTAGTATAATCCATTTTCGACAATTGGGTGGCAGGAATGAAGCTTTTTAGTGGTAGAGGTGTGAGATAGGGTTGTGACCAATTAGTTTGATAATTTGTGACATATAAAAACGTATAATTTATGACTAAATTTGTAATTATGATCTATAAATTGTGTTTTTGTGATCGTGATTTTGTGCAATTTGTGACTAGTGCGTAATCGTGATCATAAATTGTATGAGACATTGACCCGTTTAATTAATTAATAAGTCATAAAATTATTATTAGGTGGTCACAAATATGACAATCTGATTTTTGAATTATTTTTACAAATTTCTTATTTTTTAAAGAGTATTTTGAAACCTTTGTAGTTATGCATTTTTTTCCATCTAAAATATAGCTTCTTAAAAGATGGGGAGCCCATCTTAATTTTCTAGAATTTTTAAGAAAATCTAATGTAAATATTTATATACTAAGACATTGTTTGAGCCTTATTATTTGATAAAGAATGCATTTTTGAATAACGATTAATAGAGAATGTGTAGTTAAAAAATAAGTAAAAGTTTAATTTGTATATAATATTATTGAAAAGTATATGATTGAAAAGAAGAAAAAGAAAAAATGTATTTTAAAAATCATGGAGATCAAACAATAGCTAACTATCATAATTAAATACATGCCACTGTTTATTTTAGTTAAAAATCAAATTTTAATGAATTTTGATAAAATATGTGTTTTAAAAATTATAAATTTCATAAAATTTATGATTAATTTGAGGAAAAATTGAGTGCTTGTTTAGTAGAGATTTTTGGGAGAAGAATTGATTTTTGAATAGTGATATGATAAGAAATGTGTGGTTTAAAAAAAAGACAGTATTATTGATGTGATAAAAAATATTATTTTACTGAAAACTGTGTGATTAAAAATAAAAATTGATTTGAGAATCATCTCAAATTAAAAACAAACACCCGTAAATTTTTTAAAATGGGTCAAAAGAGGATATAAAATATAAAAGGAAACCTCAAACGTGGAGAAAGTGTACTTTGCATCAATAGTCGTCGTCGTCGTCGTCTTCTTCTTCTTCTTCTTCAGGTTACTCTCCAACACAACATCATAACCTTTCACTCTGTCCCGTAGGTTGCCTTTTCCCTGCTCGCTACTAATTAACTCTAGATCCATACTTCTTTTCTCAAATCTCCCATATATATTTTGTATTCCCCTTTATTATTCCTTTTCATGATTCATCATTGTGTGTTTATTTTTTCATAATCATTATCTTCTTTTTAGATTATTGCTCCGATCTGATATTTCTTTTAAGGGTTATTAATATTTATGAAAAGGTTTTATACTTTTGATGTTGAAGCTCGTGATCTGAATCTTTATTTTCGAAATGGCAGTGTTTGATGTGAAAAACAATTGGATGAGAAGAAGAAATTTGATTGTTTGATGGGCAATACATGCCGTGGATCTTTCAGGAGCAAACATTTTCGGAGCTACAATCAGCCCGAAGACCATTCCAATTCCAAGCGCAACGATCACTCAAATTGTTCTGATAATTTCTCGCCTACAAGCTTGACCTCTCAGCTCCCCATTGCTCAAGAATTTCCAAAAGACCACCAGCGAAAACAGAAAACTGACCCCATTAGTCCTAAGAAAGATACCATTATGAATCGCGGCACTACAAATCAACCTTACTTTGTATTGGGTCACAGGACTGCCAATATCCGTGATCTTTACACGCTTGGCCGTAAACTAGGGCAAGGCCAATTCGGCACTACTTATTTGTGCACTGAAATTTCCACCGGAATTGAATACGCGTGTAAATCTATACTGAAGAGGAAGTTGATTTCCAAGGAAGACGTAGAGGATGTTAGGAGGGAGATTCAGATAATGCACCATTTGGCTGGTCATAAGCATATCGTCACCATTAAAGGTGCATATGAGGACCCTTTATATGTTCACATTGTAATGGAGCTTTGTGCTGGGGGTGAATTGTTTGACCGCATTATTCAAAGGGGGCATTACAGTGAGAGAAAAGCAGCTGAATTGACCAAGATTGTTGTTGGGGTTGTTGTGGCCTGTCATTCTCTTGGGGTTATGCATAGAGATCTTAAACCTGAGAATTTCTTGTTGGTTAACAAGGATAACGATTTCTCTCTCAAAGCCATTGATTTTGGACTCTCAGTTTTCTTTAAGCCAGGCATAGAAACAATTGAACTAAGCTTATTTTAGCTTCTTTGGTGGCTTTATTCTTATGCAGTTGCTTCTTTGGTGATACTGGTCTAATTTGATATATGACTTTCTGCTTCAGGTCAGATGTTCACGGATGTGGTTGGAAGCCCATATTATGTCGCACCTGAAGTGCTTCTGAAGCATTATGGCCCAGAAGCAGATGTGTGGACTGCAGGGGTCATTCTTTATATATTGCTAAGTGGTGTGCCACCTTTTTGGGCTGGTAAGTTGGATTATGATTACGATTATTCATATTAATTTTCCTAGTGGAATATAGTAATATTTCTTCTGCTCGTGCAGAAACACAACAGGGAATATTTGATGCTGTTTTGAAGGGACACATTGATTTTGATTCAGACCCGTGGCCATTAATATCAGATAGTGCAAAGGATCTTATTAGGAAGATGTTATGCATGCGACCTTCAGAGCGGTTGACTGCTCATGAAGTATTATGTATGTTCACTTTCCCTTTTGCAAAGGATCTTATTAGGAAGATCCTACCATGATTAGTGTTAATTACTTGATAGCATTTTAGTCGAGTGACTAGCATGTGATTTAGTGGACTTATATTGTGTATTGAGACTAGGCCTCCATCTAGGATCTCTGATGGCTCTAAAGAGGACATTGCCAAGTAATGTTACATGCAGCAGGACTTTTTGTAATACTCTTCTATCGTGGTTGTGAATTATGCAAACAGTTATGGGCAATGGCTATTTCTGTGGTGTCAAGTGTTCAATATTGGCATCGAAATGTTCACGATCAATATTCAAATAGTAATTTCAACTGTGTGATTATACGAATTTGTTAATGTGTCAATTGTTTTGCATGATTTACATGTGGTAAATATCTGGTAGTTATATCTTTTTACGTTGAAATTCCATAGGTCATCCTTGGATTTCTGAAAATGGTGTTGCACCTGACAAAGCACTGGATCCAGCTGTACTTTCTCGTCTAAAACAGTTTTCAGCTATGAATAAGTTGAAGAAGATGGCTTTGCGGGTATGTAATGAGCACAGCCACAAAGTTGTACTAATTTGCTTCAAATATTTTCTCAATAGAGAGTTTAAGGTTAAGTAAAAACATCTTTAGCCAAGTATACTTTGTGTTGCAACAGGCTAACCACAAATTGAACAAGGCACCACATTAATGTACATATTCCTTCCACTTATGCAACAATTTCTATATTTTGTTAGTTTTTGTTGCATCCTTTGTTTTTTGCATAACTGCATGCCCAGGGGTGGATTCAGCACCCGCGATTCGGAACGGCCGCCCGTGCTGATCTGTCGAGAAAAAAGATTTAAGGAAGATTTTATATTAAATATATATAAATATTAGTGCATAAATGTTAATAGATAAGCGGTGTAGCTCAAATGGTAGAGTGCTCACTCCTCATGTGAGATGGACACGGTTCATATGGAAAGTGTACGTGAGGAAAATATGTTTTAACAAATAATAAATAAATAAAAACCGTACCATCCTTTAACCAAAAAAAGGTGTATCTTATATTATGAAGTGCTTGCTTTGGATTCAAAAGACTTTAGGTTCGATTCCAATCACCTCTCCTCCTCCTTTTGATTTTTTCAACAAATTAAATTAAAACTAAACAATTATATATTATTAGTTTTCGCTTTCGAAATATCTTTTTTAAGAAATTTATCAACTCTATTATTTCATAATATATACTTTTATTATTAGATTTTAGCAATTTATTTTGCAAAATTAAATTTGGACAATTTAAGTACTGCTCTTTTTTCTTTTAAGAGTTCGAAAAACATTGAGTTAAAAATAATTCTAGTCTAAAAATCATTGTTTTGTAATTTTTTGCATAAACGTTGCCTAAACTCGAAGTTTGTCTTTACCGCTTAATCATGTTTTACGTATAAACTTCATTTTGTCTCGCTTAAATCCATATATGATTGACAAAAGTATATTTTTAAATTATTTTGGATTGTGTTGAATTATATTTTCATATGTATGTGACTTTTACGTTTTAGATAATTTATATATTGATTGAATTTTTATTAATATTATTTAATTAAATATTAATAAACAATCTCGCTATTGCGGTGGTCAATGGTTGCCCCAGCTGACTCAATATCTTGGATACGCCACTGTGCATACCCAGAGCTTAAGTGACTAAACTTGAGGATTTTGTTTCTAGTTGAGAGGTGATTTTAAGTTTCTGATTGGTGCAGTATACTTTTCCCCCTTTTTGTGGGGAGGCGTACCATTTAATAATGAGATCTAGTGGTAGAAAGTAGAAACTGTCTATTTTGCAAAGGTGATAGATTATGCATCTCTGTGTGTGCGTACATCCACGTGTCTGTATGTCTATGTTTGGAATTTTTCTCTGTCTGGACATGTATGCATGTGAAAAATGAGTAAATTGAATCTGACCAATCACGATATGAAGTTCAGTGTCGCTTCTTTTTCTCCTTCAGGTAATAGCTGAAAGCTTGTCAGAAGAGGAGATTGCAGGCTTAAAAGAGATGTTTAAGGCCATGGATACTGATAATAGTGGAGCAATCACATTCGATGAACTCAAAGTTGGTTTAAGAAAATATGGATCCACATTAAAGGATACAGAGATTCGTGATCTCATGGATGCGGTATGGTTGTGTCCTCAATAAGTTCTATTTTTGTGCATATTTCAGTGTGGTTTAAATTTTTTAATCTATTGAATTTCCTTGTCTATAACAAGGCTAAAAACTGTTTTCTTATATCCATTTACTATTATAGGGTCTGTCAGTATAGCAACGTGCTTCGCAACGAAGTCACATTCACAGTCTGTCAGCTGAGATTATAATTGAAAGAAAATCAACTTAGATGAATAAATAGAAAAGATGCTGTTAACAGGATTGTCCTGGCTTTTTACTCAGACATCTTTCTTTCTTAAATTCTGTGTATTGAAGTAAGACGAACTTCTACATCTTCATTTTTCCTCATCACAGTAGATAACTGTCCCAGCTTTTTAACGGACCTGCAATTTTCATACTCTCACTCTTCATGGCTTAGCATCTTCCCCCTCTTCAATCAATGCCTGGCTACCATCAACTTAGGATTCTTTTATGTTTGCTGTTTTTATGCTCTTATTAAAAATTTGAAGCCATCACAGTGGCTGAACTATTGCTGTGATTTGCAGGCTGATGTAGACAATAGTGGAACCATTGACTATGGAGAATTTGTTGCAGCAACAATTCACCTGAACAAACTAGAACGCGAGGAACATCTTGTGGCAGCATTCCAATATTTCGACAAGGACGGAAGTGGTTATATTACCATTGATGAACTCCAGCAAGCTTGTGTAGAACATGGCATGACGGATGTCCTCCTTGAAGATGTTATCAGAGAAGTTGATCAAGATAATGTAAGTTAAAATGCATTTGGAAGGGATCTTATTTCAAATGACTCTACATACAGCTAAATAAATATGGTTATTCATGCTGAACAGTTCAACGTTTGGATCAAACTAAACTTCAATAACTGCAAAGCATTTTATAATTTAGCTTAATGGTACAAAATCGATTATTGATCCAAAGAGAACTCTGAAACATTGTCTGACATAATCCATGTAGCTTAGACGCATGAGCCTTCGTAAGTCCACTTTTTAAGTTTTTCTGGATACTTTAAACTTTTTTGAATGACTATTAAGCTATTTACCAGATGAAAAAAGGATATTTGAAAAACATTTACGTGTTTGCATGTACGCAACAAATTTTAGTTTTAAAATGATTTTCAAAAGGTGTCATGGCGTGGTGGATATGAAATATCTTTCACCACAAATGATTCTTCATTTATGTTGGCCATACCGTAAAAGTATCATCCAAGAAGTTACTGACGATAGCTCCTCATTTCTCTAAATTTAAGAATTTGGTCTACCTTTTATTTTCATTAATTTGTGAGTGTGTTTCTACCAATCCAATGAACATGTTCATTTAGGATGGAAGAATTGATTATGGAGAATTTGTAGCTATGATGCAAAAAGGCAATGCTGGTATTGGAAGACGAACTATGAGAAACAGCGTAAATATAAGCATGAGGGATGCTCCAGGAGCTCTTTAGCTTTGTAAACTGACACATCGCTTACAGGTAGTTCCCGCTTCATTTTCTAGTTTTAACATTCTTCTTCAGTCCCCATGTAAGCGTTACAGTTTATGAGGATATCTTCTCTAATTAAGCAATAACTCTATACTAGAATCTCACTTTCAGAATAAAATCTATATTATTGTATCATTCATATAAAATGAAATTTTAGGACTAATCTTTTTTGGTTGAAAATCATTCAATAGTTTCACTTTTTTGCAATTGGCAAAAACTTATCCAGTAAGAGTTTTTTCTATAGTCTCACTTTTTATCCCTTCAGATTCATCAAGTAGAATGTTGAGGATCGAGGTTGTTTCTTTATAAATAAGATAATCCCAGAGTGTTCATTTTAGTTTAGGATTTCATGATTTTTATTTTTTAAAATTTACATGATCAATGGCATATCAAAATGTCCCATTTTGTTCTAAACTCAAATCTTCGATAGCGGTGACTTACTGGATGATGCTTACTAGATGTCATATGTGTTGATGGCAAGTAATTTTCCATAAATTAACAATACTTATTGATATATATGTGCCACTTATTTGATTTAGCATTTTAGCTTTGCATCCAATAAGGTTATTGCAATGTAAAGAAACTAGTAATCTACTGTTGGTAGCACGTCTATTTGGATTACAGATGTGGTGGAGTCAAGTCAAGCTATCCTTACCTATTACTGCTCAAGGGACCAGTAAAGAAGAATCAATTAAGATCAACTCAAATTGGTTTGAAACTTTTAATTTTATTAAACAATATATACGCATACAAAAGGGAGAATGCTTAAAATATTCCTTTGAAACACACAAGATGGTATCAAGAAGTTGAAAGCGTGCATAAACTTCATGATTAAACTGCCTCGTTCACTTGCAATGGTGCCATAATCATTACCAAGCATACAACACATTCAGCCCACTGAAAGAAAAAAAAAATATAATTAGGTGAACATCTAATTAGCATTTAGAATAGTTGTTTATCGAGTGGAAAAACTTGGAATTAGGAGTCAGTTTATCCATACATAGAGTATATGCTTAGCATGAGTTATTCCTTTTCATGTCATGTGGCATGATTGTTTTATGTTTGCATAAAATCATTTAAATTTTTCCCCCTAAATTCTAAAATGCCGTGAAAAATGTTTTATCCTTTTGTGTGATTAAATAATTTGGGATTGATGTTTTCAGTTTCATTTGGGACTCCTACACTGAGCTTCATTCATGAATTTTATAATCAAGTCCAATTCGACCAATCATTAGAGATAAAATGCGTTCCAGGTGCCTCCTGAATTTGACATTTTCTTCCAGGCGTTTTGTGATTAGTGTACTGGGAAGTATTGTTCTCGTGCTGCTGTATAACTGGGGCGACTGCTGTAAGCTTTAATCATGTTTATGACTTGGGAGTGTTAATTGATTTAATTATTCAAGACTTTCTTTTCTTTGTTCTATATATGGAAATGAATCTTCCGATGTTATTATCCGAAATTATTCTTGCCATGTCTAATGCTGTTCATTGAGATTCTTTTGATTCAATATTATGGATGATTGATGGAAGAGTCAATGGCAACTAAAGTTGAACCACAACTTTCTATCACACACACGACTTTTACTTTCTAGATATCTACATGGAGACTGAATTTCTCATATCCTTCCATACTAGGTAAGACTCTCCTTGATTTATCGATGTCTAATTCCTCCACTAAACTTAGATGTTGAAGCATTTCGCCACCCTCGGCTAGTAGGCTATGATTTTCGGTCTTGTATCTCTAGTTTCTTTGGTTAAATTGAAGTTTGCCCTAATCCCATTATCTAGGATCTTGTTATTTTTGAATCCTCTAGTGAACGATTGACACTTCAATGAGTGCGCTGACAATTGTGGGGGAATAGGCAATTGACTGTACTGAGGATAAGGAATCAGGCAACTAATTTCCTTTTCTTATCTTATTTTTGTTGAGATAGGAAAGCAGGCGGGTCTCTCTTGTGATCAATCGACAAGTACTAAAAGGATTACAGGGAGTTTGTTTGCACACCCACTACCTAGTTTGTGCAGTAGTCTATAGCGATCACAAGGAACTCCTAAAAATATCAAATCTCTAGGTGAGGTTCTCATCTGGCTAATGAGATATATACCCAATCCTTTTGACACTTGTAATGAAATATAAAGGATTTTGTTGATCGTGGGATGATAATAGCAATAGCCTTGCCTGATGAGTTTGAATGCTAGGGATTAGGTTGTTCGACCTCCATGGACTTTTGTCGTCGCCCCCATGTACTTTTCTAGTTCCTTTGAATATAGCTGTTTGTATAGATGAAAATTACAGAAAGCATTACAAATGATAAGGTAGCAACATTATATTTGCTAGTTTAAATTAGTTTTGTGTCCAACATCCAATGATTGCCAAAACTGTCAAAAATTTTTGTACAGGTAGCAAGATTGAGTTCTTTTAGCATGTTGTACACTCGAGTACGACATTCCATGTATCTAACCATACTGTAAGTGTTTGATTGAGGTGGTTTTTCATGGAAAATGGAAAAGAAATTCTATTTCCACACAAATTACATGTTTGATTGACCAACAATTCTTGGTTTTTGAGGAATTCATTTTTCCATGGTTTTGGTGGGAAATGGTTTTCCAGCCTTTTTTTTTGGCAATGTAAACAAATTTTATCCTCAATTGTAATTTTTTTTCCCCTTTAATGGACAATTTTCATGGAAAACAAGGCCAAACGAATACCAAAAGATTCAAAATTTCAACATTTTTTAGGTGAAAATTTATACTAATCAAATACAATTAGTTGACAATTTTCAGTAAAATGAATTCTAGATAATTTAATTCCTTGAAAATTATTTTCTTTCTACTCAAATTTCATCCTTACAATCAAACGGACCCTTACTAGTTTGCCATTTTCTTGTCTTGTGATTGCAAAAATCTTTTATGATCTTTGGTGTTGATTCTGTCAAAGATTAGCGATTGGTAACACTTTTCGAATTTGCAATTTGATTTTCAGATTCTAAATTGTTCGTTGGGAAAATTTTGGATCTTCTTAGCATCTCTAGTTGTTTCAGTGTATGCTAAATCTTTTGGAAAGATGATATTACATCCTAAAAAAATAAGGCAAAAATTGTTATGAATTCGAAAATTAATTAGACCTAATAATATTATATTATTAGAAGAAGTAAAATATTTTAATGAGAGTTTGAAGTCATACATAAAAGTAATCTTGCTAATGATCTAAGATAATACAATTCCTGTTTCCTAGAAGTCTTGATTGGTGAATTTGTATCAGATGTTATTGACTCCAAATGCATCGGAAAAAAAAGAATTAGCGTATATTTTCTAAAAAAAAAAAAAAATGAAAATCTTGTCCCTTCTCCAAATCAATAATTCTTTCATTCATGAGGATCCTCCCAATGATTGGGAGCTCATGGTTTTATGTTTTGTTTCGCTCCCCTTTCCTTGTGGTATTGTTGTGCTATCGGTCTACGATGATTCGCAAGGATCTAGCGATGGATACTATGGACTAGTGCACTTTAGCCATATAGAAATGAAATGGCGAAATTTTCATTTCACATAACACTGGAGATGAAGTGGGGCAAATGATTAGAACTATGAACTACAATGTCTGAATTCCTTGTTGTCTTGTCCACAGTTGGCCCAAAAGGAAAAATAATTTTCCTCGATAACGGAGTTGATTTTATATTAATATGCAAATATTTACATGTTGAATTCATGGACTCGAAAGAAATAGAAAGATGCTAATACACCTTTGTGTTGTAAAATGAACAAACTTTGAAATGTAAATATTATCCCGACAATCCAAGAAGGAACTTTGAAATTGCTGATTTACATGCTACTGATATAATCAAATACATAATAGAAACGCAGCAACAAATTAATGAAACAATAATTCATAATCTACCAACACTATACGCAGAAAAGTACAAAGACCCAGCAGCAAGAATTCGATCAATTGCCCCAAAAGATAAGAAGACAAGAATAAAAGTGGCATACACAGACAGTGAAATCTTCATTCAGTGAGCAAGGATTGTCGATCTGCTTCCATTATCGAAATTCTTGGAGTAATTGTAGGAATCGTAGCGAAAAGTTTGAGGAAGGCCAACGTTGTCGGATCCGATGAGCTTTCTAAATTCAGACCTTACCTTGTAGAAAACATGCCCTAAGCTGCCTTTATTGTTGCAACCTAGGACTGTTGTTTCTTCCTCATTCATCTCCAGATCATTGGCAAAAGTAGGTTTTCTGGAGAGGATCCAGGTCCATCCCCAATCCCACCATTTCCTTATAGAATTGCCGGCATATTCTCCCATTGAAGATACAGATTTGGATCTAGGAAAAGCCCACGAAGCGGTGGCTGGGGAAGAGATATTAGGTTGGAAGTTGAGAGAAGAGAGTCTTCTGCGGATGCCTCCTTCCTCAGGTTGCGAAACTGGAAGCGCTTGCTTGCCTCGGAAGCTTTGGAATATCGAGCTCATTTCAACTTAATGGGCTGAATCAAAATGAATGGATGTGTAAAATGTTGTATTTGTGTGTGTGATTGGAGCTGGAGCTTGTGTGTTAAAACTTAACCAAAACACAGAGGGAGGGGGGGGGGGAGAGAGAGAGAGAGGAGCATATGGGCATGAAGAAAGGAGGTGGGAGGTAGTGGTCACAGCTATATTACAGGCTGGTTTAATGCTGATTGTGGGCTCCATTACTTTCTTTTTTTAATTTTTTTTTTGGGTTAATTTCACCCATGGCCATTCTTGTTTTTATTTACCTCCAAATTCCCCCACTCAACTTTTTTATTTTGTTTCACACCTATCACCGAATTTCTTGAAACGTGTCATTCTGGTTAATCAACCATCCACCATTCCACATTTATTCATTGTCCACTGCTATAGCCAATCAAGTGTAGAATCATTTCAAAGAAATTTTTCAGATACATCTTCGATCAGGTGAGGGAGTACGACATATGTTTCAACAATGGAGATATTCCGATTAGTTTGTTCGTTGTGGCCACATTCACACTATCATTCTTCTATTGATTTTTTGATTTATTTGGCTTGAGAGGAATGAAGCAAAACACCATGATATTCGTATGGAGTCTCAGCGGATCATCTTGAGGGTTTACCGTACAGTTTCACTTCTTCACATGGGTAATTTATTTTGGCCTACTCATTGGCGGTATTTCCTTGACTCTCCTTCCCCCATCATCTCCTATTTTAGTTTTTTACGTACTTCACCCGAGGGATCCAGCAAGATCAATACTGATAAATGCGTCAATGATAGTTTTGAGAGTAGTGAAAGGATTACACGAGACCAGCTTGGTCACTGCATAAGTGCATTTTCATCTTCATTTAGAGAATGCCTTATTCTTGAGATTGAGTTACGTGTTATTCTGAAGGGGATCTTATTTTTCGGACAACTTGGGTTAACAGATCTTTAGGTGGAGACAGACTTGATCTTGGCCATTCACCATATCACTAGGGGAGAACCATGAATTATTCAGGACATTCTTCGATGCATCAAACATCACCTCTCTTTTGATCAAGTTTAAACTTTCCACATTTATCGGGGGGAAACTAGATTGCTAATTCACTTACATCGGAGGGTTGGACCCATCGTCATTACAAGTATGGACCTTTCGACCTTCCTTGATAGATACATGCCATCGTTCAAATGGATATACATGGCGTTTCCAGCGTTAGGAGTTTCAGAAATTTTACACGTTTTATCTTTGTATGGGAAGTAAATATCCCCCATTTATTCAATTTTCACATGTTGCACTCTTTTATTTCTAGAGGTCAAGTTTATGCCTCTCTCACTTTTATTCATGAGAGTTTGATATATTACATGGTTGGGGAATTCTAACCGGTATCAATCTTTCTTGGAGGAGCCTAAAAATCCATTTAGGTTGTGTTGATGTTTTGCCCGAAGAAAAAAGAGTGAATCAACCGTCTTATTTGAGCATAAAACTCGAAGTGGACAAACGGTTTGATGACATTCCAAAACACTACATCCAAGTGTAAATCTCGTGCATGTGTAAAATTGCTGTACAGTGTATTTTTTTTGTGTAGTTTTGGGCTTTAAAAATAAAAACCTCACAAATCAAATTAACAAAGAAACTCAATTTCAAAAATCATCTACTAACAACTGTCTAGGGTTCTTGACTCTTACTCAATTTGATTTTAATAAACTGTGATCTTCAAACCATTTGTCCATGTGGCATTTTCTGTTAAATAATAGACAGTTGATTATCCAAGTAGCCTGACACATTTATAAAGTTTGGTGATGGATCTGAAACAAATTAAAGTTTAGTGGCCAATGTGATAGTATATGCAAAGTACAATAGCCATTGGTGAAATTAATCCATTCTTGCCTTCTTTTCTTTGAGAAAAAAAATTCATACGTGGCTATTGAGATTTTAGAAAAATCTCAATTGGGTTACTAAGTTTTATTTTATTTCAATTTAGTTCCTAAAGTGTCATATTGGAAAGATTGGTTATGATATGATTACCAAATAAATATTGGAGATGATAGATGACGAAATGTGATAAAGTGGTAAAGTTCAGTGGCCTAATTGAGAGTCCATTTGATAAATTGTTAATGATTTATAAATAGGAATAGGAATAGTTGTTGTTCTTCTTCCTAATTGACCTCTCTTTCTGTCTGCCGACACCTAAGTGAAAAACAAATTAATGACCACAACTCACAGGTTCCTTATCCACATCACCACTTACTACGATGTGGGGAAAAGGAATGCTTGAAAATGAGTGTGTAACCAAACAAAATAGTCGAATTAGTTAAAATAAGAAAGAAGAGTGACAGAACATAAACCCATTTATTTTCAGAAATAATCATTATTAATTGTTTATTATTTCAGCAATTATTAAAAGTCACATGGTTATATGCTAATCATTAATGAGCAGTACAACAATGGATATATCATTTATAATATTAGTTTGATGACATTTAATTACTCTATGAATACAATAATCCTATGTCTTCACCTCTGCTTATGTTACATGCACACTTAAAAAGCATTAGGTGCACTATAACGCCCCATATTTAGTACTTTTTTTAAAAATAAAACTGTTAACAAAATCTTTCTTATCAAATTTATGTATTATTGTAGAAATATTGGGATTGAATCGATAATTTTAAATTCAACAATTTAAATGAGAAAATTTCATATATAATTTAATATTAAATACTACAATTTCAATAGTCAAATTGAACATGGGATGTTAATGACACTGTATTCGACTTTGATTACCGCAAGTATACGGATCGTTCAAGTAATAAAGATGAGTTTTGAAGTCCAAGTATCGTTCCCACAGAGATTGAGCCAGTTCAAGTTTTGATTATCTCTACCTTAATCGAAACCAAGTAGATTCAATGAGATGATTCACATATGAAATTGTCTAAATTATAATACGAAAGCAAAATTTATATGAAAGTAGACAAACTAAATGCAAAAATAACGTTTGAATGCAAATGCTTGAAGTAATTTATGTATGAAAAGTGTACTAGGATTATTTCACAATTTGATAGCACGGTAAATTATTTGAAGAATCAATGTTCCTAATATATTCAACATTCTCTTTCGAGTGGAGTTAAACCTTTTCTCGCATACCATTTGACTATATTTCTATAACAAATGCCAATATACAAGAACGCATAACATTTTATGAACACTTAAAGATTTACGTAAAGTATAGGGGTATATTTCTATCCCCTATTGAACCCTACGATGATTTATACGCTGTAGAATCTATTTTCCTTCTTTCGAATGCATAAAATAGATCACCCAAACTCACATAATCACACGCATTTAACTATGGAGGCAAGAAAGTCTATATAAATCATTCAACATCCATCAATTGTNTTAACAAAATCTTTCTTATCAAATTTATGTATTATTGTAGAAATATTGGGATTGAATCGATAATTTTAAATTCAACAATTTAAATGAGAAAATTTCATATATAATTTAATATTAAATACTACAATTTCAATAGTCAAATTGAACATGGGATGTTAATGACACTGTATTCGACTTTGATTACTGCAAGTATACGGATCGTTCAAGTAATAAAGATGAGTTTTGAAGTCCAAGTATCGTTCACACAGAGATTGAGCCAGTTCAAGTTTTGATTATCTCTACCTTAATCGAAACCAAGTAGATTCAATGAGATGATTCACATATGAAATTGTCTAAATTATAATACGAAAGCAAAATTTATATGAAAGTAGACAAACTAAATGCAAAAATAACGTTTGAATGCAAATGCTTGAAGTAATTTATGTATGAAAAGTGTACTAGGATTATTTCACAATTTGATAGCACGGTAAATTATTTGAAGAATCAATGTTCCTAATATATTCAACATTCTCTTTCGAGTGGAGTTAAACCTTTTCTCGCATACCATTTGACTATATTTCTATAACAAATGCCAATATACAAGAACGCATAACATTTTATGAACACTTAAAGATTTACGTAAAGTATAGGGGTATATTTCTATCCCCTATTGAACCCTACGATGATTTATACGCTGTAGAATCTATTTTCCTTCTTTCGAATGCCAGAAATAGACCACCCAAACTCACATAATCACATGTATTTAATTATGGAGACAAATAAAGTGTATATAAATCATTCAACATTCATAATTCGTGTTTAAAATCAAATTGCAAATAAAGAATTAAAAGTTCACATTATGAGGTTCATCGTTCACCTAATATAATAAAAATCTAGCATAGCATGGATAAAATAAAATAGCAAAGAAAATATTTAAGAGAAGATATCACCCAATTCTTTAATATAAAGCTCGAAATCTTAGATCTTGAAATGCAATTTTTCGTCCTAGCCTTCGTTCTTGCTCTTCAAGGTCATTTTTCTCTCTAAGAAGGCGTAAACCCTTATTCTAGACGAGATTAGGGTTATAAAGAAGTTCTAGATGCGTGGCCATAAGTGTTTGATTCAAATAAGGAAACCAAAAATTTCGAGTCGGATTTGTTCCATGCGACCACATGGTTTATATGCCATGCGACCATATGGAACAACCAATTGTGTCTCTGGAATTTCCTGTCAAGGCCTGGGCGACCGCATGGAATTTATACCATGCGATCGCATGGTTTCAATGTTTTTCCCGTCGGACAGATTTTGGTATTTTAGTCATATCTTTCTCTTTCGATATCCGATTAGGGTGATTTAAAATGCGTTAGAAAGCTTACTTCAAGGGATACAAAATATCCAGAAATATAAATCTTCATATTCGAATGTCTTTTATGTAAAAAATGGGTCTCAAACTAAGACTGAAAATTCAAAGCATAACTTTTTCGGCTGGAAGTTGATTTGTGTGTATTTCGACTCTATTTCCTTCCTTTGGCTTCTTTCCTCATCCAATTGATGCCAAACACCCCCAAATCTTCATTGTGGGATCGACACAACTTTTTAGTATTTGTAATTGAGTCCTCAAATTTTGCT